TTGGCGTGGTAAATGGAACCAGACAAGGGAACAGTGGAGCACTAACCTCTAAATGGTAAAGAAATACAGAATGAAGTCGCGAATCAGCGGAGCCATAGGTATCAAAGAGTATCACAGCATCGGACTTGACAAGTGCTCTAATATGGAGAATGTTAATCTAGAGCTATATAAGTCAGTCTCCAGTATTTTGTGTGGCTCAGAAACGCACCAATATAGCTTCCTTTCTTACAAGTATAGTTGGAACAAGATTTGGGACTCGTGAGTCGATTTTGCGCAGATCACGAGGCTTCACAATCTTGTTAGCCAGGTTCAGGATGAGGGACGAATCGATATTCCTCACGTTCAAACCGTGTTCGGAGCTAAGATCGGCTTTTTTGAATTGACCTGATATTGTCTTTACATTACCTGGGGAAACAAGGTTGGATCATAAATTCACCCTGAGCGAGTCACTGACCTTCGGCATCCAAGATAGTACCTATAAAAGATCGAGCTCCAAAGAAGGACAGTATAACTGTATTGCTCACAGCGCAGCATGAGGTCCGTTGGCTGACGGCCTTTCATGACCTTCTCAAGGATCGCAGCCTTGGTTGCATCATCCTGTAGCTGGTCAATAGGCTGATGCTCGTCAGGACGTTTCTTCGGAGTCCAAGAAATGGCCCGGTGCAGCAATTGGCTTGCCCGTGATCTATTCCTTGTTCCTAACGGGAAACATGTGGCCTTCGGCCGGTAGAGCATCGTGTAACATCGTTGGCCTATATTACAGCGCAGGTTCTGGGCAGTAACTCTGCGAAATTCTCGCGTTACATGACTGGAAGCTGTAGCACAGAACCCTGTATGCATGCGCAAGATAGAAGCCCTTGGGAAGCGCGCTGACGAGAAGCGCAACGCCAGGAAATTTCAGCCCAGCTTGATCGCCTGACTCACATGACCGTAACGTGTCACGATGTTACGGCAATATGACCTTTGCCTCCTCCACATCAGAAAACATGACCATATTCGATCCTGGGTGTGCCTTCATTGTAGCGTTCCATTTCTGAGCTTGCCCCGTACACGGCTATGTGATCCGCTCCCCCACCTCTCGTCCCACTTTGTCGACCGAATGTAAATCTGCGATTTGTTACCCCTTACCTTCCAAGGTTCACACATGTTCACGGGGCTTCCCCTGTCGGACCTGGAACGTTGCCACAAAAGTGCTGGTACTTTCAATTGATCGGACATGCCCGTTCTGGCTACCAGATGCATGACAAGATCTCATCTACTTTGATTCTTCTTTCTAGACTACACTCGTCACAGACATTTATTACATATCTAGCACCTGCCGAGTCCTTCTCCGCTGCCTCTCCTCACTTATAACATGCACTAGGCCTGTTATATCCTCATCCTCTCCTTGCTACCATGTCCGAAACTCGAAGACTCCTGGAAGCCGCTGCTGCTCTGTCATATCTTCTTCACAAGGGCGGGGTCCCCCATGCTTTCTATGGGAATGTCCTGACTGCAGTTCTATCCAACGATCCTCAGGCTCACGCAAGTCATTCATCGTTCGCGCAGAGTTCATGTCCTTATACTTGATCCCTAGGAGATCTTCTGTATAGTCGAGTATGGCCATACGCACCCGTTCCGGCGGGTTCGTGATGCACTTGCAGACAACGCTGACTTCACAACGATGAATTCACCATGGACCAACAGGTTGGCATATACCCAGTTTCTCCGGGTCCCCTGACCTCATACATGTTCAGACTCCACGCCACCTACCGTCGTCTAATTCCGCCTATTGATGTATGCTATTTTTCACGACCTCTTTGACTTTCTATGACAGCCTGGACTTGCTACTAGATTGAGATACTGGCCGCTGGAGAGTCAGGACCTCGTCATCTGGACAACATGACTGTGATGAAGCTTGAAGGTGTCCCTTTCCTAACGATTTCAGAGTTCATTCGAGCAAAGCTAAAGACATGGATCATGTATGTATGGCTTGTGTCTTGTTATGTCGGAAATCAATTTTGCTTCATAGTCGTGGTTCGGAAGGTGATGCTCAAGATATTACTTACGTGCTTTCCCGCTACTGGAGCAGAGTGGACATCAATCGAATACCTGAACAGGACATGGGTGTATTTGTTACTCGTAACTCGGCTGTAGCACCTGCGTGGTCAGCGATTAGGAGAAAATATGGGATCCACTAACGCTATGTGGATAGGAAAACCCGAGGATTCACAAATGGAGATCTTGGACCATTTGGGGTCAATATGTTATCTTTTGCGAAGACTGTTGGATGGAATCAAAGGGTGCCAAGTCAGGACGACGGTTTTGTGCAATTTCGTGTGTCTCTGCACTTCTATTCAAGGTGTGCACATGTAACATACCAAATATAAGTTTCCAAATGTTTTCATAGTTTAACACCGCATATCAGCGCCTAATGACCTTTGAAATTGGATCTTCATTGTTTCAATGATTTCCTTATCGGCTACCAAGAATGGAATGTCCATCAACTTCTGGAGGTGATTAAAATCTACATCCGCGTCGTATGCTTTCCGCGGCGGAGGGCTTTCCTTTCTCGGATAACAAGTGTCCCGAATATTAGTAGAGAAGATATCATTCGCACTGTCTGCTGCGTTCCAGAATCTCTGCCATTGAAGACAATATATCATACTGGGGACCTCTCCGGCTAATATCACACCTTCTCATGGCGTTATCTGGTCAAAACTTCTCACCAGGTGATATCAAGCTTATCCATCAACCATATAAATAGCCATATCTGCCTATTCTAATCGCAGTGGATTGCGACGTTCTGACGGTAAATCTTTGGGATTGTTCATGTGTTTGTCATGATAACCAACTGTTGGCCGCGACGGCAACTTATCGCAAGAGAGCTTCTAGTGGTACGTCACCATGTGCACGATAAAATAGTCCGAGCGCTCGCAGGCTGTCAAAACAGCGCTGGAGAATCCCGACTGAGCCTTCCGCGTGGGACCCATCTTTTTAGGACGATTTGCCACCGGGACGACAAGATAATATGGTGAACTACTCCCAGGGTCGTACCTACGAAAATCTGGGAAGTTATGAGGTATATTCGTGACAAGATCTTCTCTACATACGCGTGTGAGATGAAGTGGGAGGAGTGGAGTCCGAGCTCCACCAAAGTAAAACCTATGTCATTACGGTCCGGTGAATGACCGACAACTTTTGTTACAGGTTCAAATCAAGGATATCGGCTATGTCCGTTGGTGTACAAATACACCATATGCTGAGAATAGGACATCCTGGCTTCCTGATGAATCAGTCTGAAACACACAGCCCGAGAAAGTGGCTCGGCCGAACCATGAAGGAGCTTGGTCTAATATACACAGGTTTTCAGGAGTCTACATCATTCCAGAGCCTAGTGTATGAAATCAAACAGGCAGATGGAGAGCAAGCTTTGTGAGGCGATGGAATGTTCAACAAACCTGTAGAAAATCACATCAATGACTGAGAATTTGATCTGAGTGATAAGTATGATGGAAGCAAAAGAAAAAGGCAATAAACAATACTTATCTATGCAATCAAAGAATGTACGACTATTCGCGCTTCGGAGACCTCTAACGAGAACTTTATTAAAAGATAGAAACTACATTCATTTTACCAACAAAGGCAATATCTTATGCCCAACCGTAACCCTACTGCAAATCCCCGACGAGACAAGTATTTTGGTTTGATCGAGAAAGACCGAGAAAATAAGACCGCTTACTCAGTTACTTATGCTTTATCCATTTACCCCCTGCGCCGCGGAATTAAGATAGGAAAGCCACCATAGACGATCATTTTTGGTTCGTCAAGACACTCCTGGAGTTCTGAGCTGCAAGGACTTCGAGATGACTCCCAACTTGCGTGCGCGGAAGAGATCCGTGCAGATAGGGTCCGGAGATGCCTTTTTTACGATGATTCCGCGTGCACTTCACTCTTGAGCGAGGACCCAATTGACTTGCTTCAGAGCGCCTGAGGGATGTCAATCTCATCGAGTACAGGGGCATCATGAATCTTCGGAAGCTAAACAAGCAAGAGCATTCGGCAAGACTGTACACACCATCTGATAGGCTTGTGACAAAGAAGTGATAGGACCACCAGACTGCTATGATGAGAAAAACGGTGACTAGATGAACGAGCGAGACGGGCTCGTAACGAGAGAGAGACGTGCTGCAATATTTTGTGCTAGACCGTAGCAATCCTTTCAAGGTGACGTCACGTTACAATATGATTGTAGAAACCCTACTCTGCGATATTCAGCGAGGAAGTTATTACCCATGATACAGGCATTGCAAGTAGAAGATTGAATGTATTGACCGTCTTGATCGTTTTTTCTCGACAAATTTCTTTCGCTGGCGAGAGTAGACATATCGGACGCAGCCGCCGTCTTTACCTGAGAATTACCATATCCTCAGCACGCTTTCCGTCGGTTAGTATTTCTAATTCGATATAGATTAGCGTGCCATCTGCGACATCGCCCTTAGCGCGGAGCCACGGGTGGCACCCCTCGAGGACCCAGGTACGGTATGATCTTACCTGGAAAAGGTAACCTGAGATAGCCTGACGCGGATGGAATTGCATGGATCACAAGGAGTAGTGTAGCCATTGCAATCATGTTCGAAACAGGAGACCAACACACAAGTGAGGACATGAAGAAAATCGAACGGGAGTTCACCATCGGGTGGGTAAAATAGCTCTGACGGTCCTTTAGTCGAAGTCTGAATGGCATTCAAGGTTGCACAGGCAATGTCGAGGGATGCGATCTTCGACCAACCTGAACTTCTTCGAGTGACAAAGGCTACTGGGGGCTGAACCTAATAGAGGTGTTTCTACCATATGCAATGCTCGACATGCGATGACGACTCCGGGTAAGTCATAGAGGCTGGTGGATTCGGAGATCAGGACCACGATTCCGGACGTAATGCAAGCACTATCCGAGGACAATGGGATATGGCAAAATCGGAAAACCCCCAAACTTCGATGATGGCAGGAAAACAAAAAATTGGTCCAATCCAGGATCGAACTGGAGACCTTCTGTGCACAAGAAGACATTGTGTCTTTGTAAGACAGAAATCATAACCACTAGACCATTGGACCACATTATTACGATAGAAAGGTTAATATTCATCGTTTATAATAGCTTGATGATCAGGCGGCATATTTCGGCAATCTTCAGTATACGTATAATCATGATATTAGTCTTTGATGTGATGCCACGGTCATTCGTAGCCGCCACGGCCGTGCTCAACAACTTCGATGTCCTCGACAATATCTGCGAAAATGCCGTGGCCGATCCTGCTGGTCATGACCTTGGCATGGAGGGTTATGGCTCGAGTCTCTACTGATATTGCCGCCCGACAGGAACACTTTCCGCAACTTGAAACGAAATTCTCCTTTGTTGTGGACAATTCCAACTACACGTCCTGCGCCCCAGCGACCTTCAACTGGACGTATGAAGGGCCCGACCGTTCCTTCTCCTTCTTCCTGACTCGTGTAGATATGGACCAGGATACTACAACGTCGGCGAGTTCCAGTCCTAGTGTCCGCAGCCTTCATCGCCGTGACGACTCAACCGTTCGAATCGCATCGTCAAAATCTCCCTTCGATGAACAACTGAACTTGCCGTCTCTTCCTGTCCAACCAGGAAGATATTTTCTTGTTGCTAAGACGACCTCGATCCCACCTCCATACACCACACATTCTTCAGTGTTCACGGTCCAACAAGGAACTAATCTTTCATGCTTATTATCCCTCCAACTATCCTCCTCGACCCCTACTTTGTCTTCATCGGCCACGTCGTCTGACCTCGCATCAATCACTCCCACTGATGAAACATCATCCACGGTCGTCCCAGTCGGCGGAGTTTCCAGCACTTCAGTCAACAAGGGCGCAATTGCTGGTGGTATCATTGCAGGCGTCGTTGCGATATTTGCAGTGGTCGTATTCTACTTTCTTTTTGTCGTTCGTCCTAGACGATCACGGGCGCATAGCCGTGCTCCAGGGGATCCGCATAGCCATGCTCCTGTCAAGGGTAACTTTGGCATTAGTACCTCTGGTGGAAAAGATGGAGGTGGACGCTGGGGTGGCCTTGGTTCTGTTGACTCGCATCTCCCACCGAGTGAAACCAAAGTGCAAAGGACATATGGGAACACAGGGCGTCAATCAAATGGCGCCGGCGTCTCCCAAGATGATATCGATTCCTACTTCTCACGTTCTGGATCTGTCAACTACGGCGGCTATATTGGATCTCCTTCTGAGGAAAAATTCTCTTCTTCAAGTCCACCATCAGACGAGATGGTCCTCTCTGTGCTGCCATATCGTAGCGATCCGAAAGTCCCCACACCCAATAATAACCGACGCTCCTCCGCATCTCCCTTTGAATACCGTCACTCGCAATCACAGGCGTGGCGTTCGTCGCTAGACTCTTCGTCAACCCACGGGCCGTCACCCTCCTCCAGTCCTATCGTTCCATCTCCCGCCTCCCTCACCTGCACATCCTTACCGAGTACACAGAACACGCCACGAAAGACCGCACGCAAACCTGTCCCCGCTTATTACGAGACCTCCGATGACCTCACGATGTCATCCGCGCCACCGTCTCTACCTGCCCTAGCCACCACGCCATTTGCCGATCCCGTGCTTCCCCATCCTGCGCCTGCATACTCTGGCCACTACACGACGCGTTCCGAGCGCGCAAGCTTGAAATCCCTCTCCTCAAATTCGAAGTCAAAGTCTAAACTCAGGAAGGACAGGAGTGATACAAGCTCGACGAACGCCAGTCGTGAGGAAATACTTGCTCAGCAGGACCTGGCGCACAAAAACAGCTTCGGGCCTGGTGGGCTGGAGGGCAAGCAGCTTCATTATTTGATACCCGATATGCCTGTCGGGCATTGATAAGTCCTTTATTCACTCATGTGATGCGGATTTGGATTATGTACTAATTTTTTTTTTCTTGATACCTCCCGTCTTGTTCTGGCTTTGATTTCTTGGATCCACACGACTTATGCATTTACCATCGACACTATCTATGCCTTCGTTACTCCTCAAGATCTTCGATCGTTTGCTTTGCGTATTGTAGTGCTATTTATGTACGAATGTACGACTTGAGACTCCGTGAGCCTTCTATGTCTTTCTTAATGGCAATTTACGACTGTCCAGTCTTTTGTTGTTTATGTGTGTTCGGAGTCATGAGACTTTTTGGGAGCGACAGGGCTTTCAATTTCTTCAGATTCAATGATGTACTGTGTGTATGAGGTTGACTCAATTCAAGTGTGGCGCGTCGCGGTTTGCGTTACTTGTTTCGAATTCTGCGAAGATTTCGGTTCATGGATTCCAAAACGAAGCAGAAGGATCTTCTCAATCACCACTGACAAAGACCAGCAATCACTGGATTTTGCCAAAGCATCCTATGTGGGACGATGAAAATCAACGAGATTGAATGATTGTTTTTCGCTGAATCACAGGATCGTGGGCCATCATTGACAAACGTTATGAGCGAGAACTCTATAGTAGATCTTGTATTCATGACATTCAAATTGAGACTCGATGTTTTCAAATGACAAATCATAAGAAAACATGCAAACAGATCAAAAAATTGAGGATATGATAATAGGAAAGCTATTGAGCTTCATCGCGAAACCGATATATTACGACAATGTCCATCTGCCATGCCTTCTACAACGACTCAGAATGCTTGTTATGGATGACTTTGATCTTTAAATCGGTAAGTAATTCATGATGCAAATTTTCATCAAATCATCTCACCAATCTAGTCATAAATCAACAGCGTGGGGAGCAGAGGTTCCAAGATATTCAATGACAGCAGCTTTTACATCATCATCCTCGATCCCAACGGGAAGTGGACTCATACCACCATTCGCTGGCGGAGCCCGGAGACGTTCCCGGACATTAGCAATGAGGACTGTAGTTTCCAATCCAATGACTTTGGATTCTTGCAGAGTCAGTGCCTGTGGTCGGCGGCATAACTCTGCATACATCGGAAGTAAATGGCTCCGATCAATGTTGAGGTGCTGATAAATAGCGATGCGACGGATTAAAGACATGTCAATTCTGGACAACTCCCGTATTGCCAATTCAAGGACTTCTGGAAATTCCCATTTCTGGGCAAGTTTTATGACGGTCGTCCAGTCCTCGATCGACCAATTGTATACGGAGTATCTCCTGAATGAAGACGTTAGTAATAACCCTTATTCTGGAGCTAAAATTGCACTGACTCGTTATAGAATACATCTAGCAGTTTCTCAAACGACGCAGGGGACACATCCAGGATAATCGCCGTGGATTCAGTCTCACCGTTACGAGGGCCTGACTGAAACCCCCGTTGGAAAACCCGTGATTCACGTTGAAAGAAATATCTATGCACTCGAAAGAGCTGGTTCTCAGCCTGACGAATCATCATATCACATTGTGTATCTCGAGGATCAAGTCATCAGACATACCAAAAAGTAAACGTCCCCACCCGGCAGGAAGTAACGATGCTCTTGAAGGTGCTTGAGGACAGTGGAGTTTTCAGAACTCATACTATAAGATACTGAGGGAAGGAAATGGGTTTTGTTCTGATTGAGTTCGAGCCTTATAAGAATACCAAGTGGAAATCAAGGCACGTGTAGTCAAGCGTGTCAATCTATTATCTAGGCCCGCGCATGACAGTGTTGAGCGTCGCGAGAATGCCGTTCAATGGGCGCCTAAAATCACCTATCTGGGAACACACTAAGAACAGTCAAAATATGGTCAAAATCGAACTCACGCTGCAAGCGCCGCCTTTCCGATCACCAGGAACTGGTCTTCCAAAGCCATGCACTCTCCAAATGTGGTATTGATCAGTACTCACGGCACCACTAGTCCAGTGGTTTACTGTGAATACGATGTGCGTGAGACACGTCCGATACATAAGGGTCGTCTTTCCGCTCAGCAAGCGCGCACGGCCGACCGGCTTGAACAATTATCATCTTTGTAGGTCATGGGAGTAAAGGAACTTGTGACTATGGAGGCTTACAAAAGTCCGATCCACGCTGCGAGATAAGGCGTTAATGTATGAAAGTGAAGTGGAAGAACAACCAGGAAAAGAAGAGAAGAGAGAAACAATAACACGTTCCCTCGAACAAGCTCCAAAGAGTAATTCTCCACGACGTTGCAGGGGTATCATAGTTCTCCGTAGCCAGAGCACAGATGTTGTCTTCTTCATCGACCAAGATTACAGAACACCGAGGGACAACGACTGCCTATTACGCTTCCGATGCAAGGTAGCGTGCAATTAGAGTTTGAGCGATTAAGACAAAGACCACCTGGCGGAGGGTCATGTGCGCCATGCGCATAGTTCATTGCTATCAACCCAGACGTAACTTTAAAAAATTGTTCGGAAGTCGTTACGTAGTTGCAGGTTTGCGAGCGCCAAAACTCAATTCATCCATATATAGGCTGAACCCTGGGAACGGGCACCCCCCATTTCTTCAATAAGTTGACAATAAGAGTCGGTTATGAAAAGTTTCCATTCTCGTGGTAAAATCTCGTGTGCGTTGTTTTTCTCCATGAATCTTTCTGGAACTCGGCGGTATACATTAGTACGACAGGACAATACGAATTCTGCAGTTACTTCTCCTGACGGGGCTGCCAATGTGGACTTGGCTTCAATCCGTCAATCATCAGCACTTTAGTCATCACTTTGGCGCTCGTTCGCATTTTACCCTCCTCGACGCCTTCCCTGCCCTCATCAAACGAGACACTGAGTCCCCTCGCAACACCACGCACGCTCATGCGTGTATCTGGACCCTCCGCGCCATCCTCACGTATCCAGGCGCCCACTTTCGCTTCCTCTTCCCACCAGGAGGCAGCGCGCTCTCGAAGCTCTGGGACACGCATAGTGGCAGCTTGCCCATACTTGAGAAGATGTAGAGCAGAGAGTAGGTGAGCCAGGGTTTTATGCGTCTGGACTAGGAGGGCGGAGGTGTCGATATTAGATGACGGTGTGGAACTTGAGATGAAAGGAATCCGGGAATTCGGGATGTTGTGCACGGCGAGTGGCAGGAGAAGAAACGAGATGTGGCGTATGATAAGAGCTATATCATGCCACTAGATAT